TCGGCACAGCCCGCTCCTTCCTTATTTTGGCTGCTTTAGTGTCAGGTGTAGGGGTTGGTGGGGGGAGGTTCATCTTGCACAAATTTAATTGCGACCTTTCCTTACAGACTCTCAGCGCAGTCTGAGTGGCATTTTGTTAACAGGGGATAACACCTCAGGCCTCTCAGTGCAGTCCGAGTGGCATTTTGTTGAAGGGGACATCATCTGGGGCCCCTTGCAGAGCTGCAGGTGAGAGCGCAGGTCCAGTCCCTCTCACTAGGGTTGTCGTTCATTCAGCTGGTTGCTGTCATCACAGCCCAGGGGGCCTTCTCCTTCGAGTAGGTGCCCTCCCAGTCCATGGGAGCCTCTGCATTTGAGGGGCTGTAAACAGGTGAGGTAGTAGGGCATTGTCATCAGGTCAGGGGGGAGCCCACGGCTCTGAGCCCCACGCCCAGCAGTTGTTCCTGTGAGCATTTGGGTGACACTTGGACACTGGATGAAAGTGTTTTCCCCACGAGTGGAGGTTCCCAGGCTGGAAATGCCTGTGGAGTTTGCAGTGCAACTTCGGATGCTCTACATTTCGGTTTAAAATACAGTAGAAAGTGTCAGTATTGAAAGGATCGGAAAAACTGTAATGTTGGGTTAGAACACTGGAGTTTATCTTGAACTGTGGTGCGTAAGGGAGGGTAGGATTCATTCACGTCTCAAGAATGGGTGATGGTGCTCGGCACTGAGCTGGGGGGGCAGGGTGTGGGTCCCTCCAGAAGAGCTCATGGGGCTTGGAAAGCTCCTGGGAGAGGTACTGGTCCCACTGGCAGCAAGGTGGGCAGTCCCTTGGGGAGGCCCCTGCCTGCTGCTGTCTCTGCATTCTCAGCCTCTAAAATCTAGGTGGTGTTTTACACTGTTCATTTTAATCTTAAAACCTGTGTTTTTACAATAATGAAAAATAGGAAATAGCCTAAATCTTCACCAAAAAGGAAGTTATAAGCACGTTTTGGGTGAGATATTATGTAGCCGCTGAAAATTATGTTTTTGAAGAATGTTTAATGACATGGAAAATGCGTGTAAGAGGTGAGAAGAAAAGAACGCAAAACTGAGTGGCATCAAGTGATCTCAGTCGCCTTCACAGTGATCAGCACGCACGTCCTTATGTGCACACACGCAGGACAGAGGCTGGGAGGAGACACACAGCTGTGCTAACCAAAGGAGAAGGAGCTTCTGGAGGCTCCTGCTTTTCTTGCACTTCTCTGCATGTCTCACATTTTCTGGAAAGAACACTTATTTTTGTACTAAGAAAGCTACTACTGTTAGAAAAGCTTGGTTGTTTTTGTCTGCCGGGTCTGGGTGCATCATGGCTACTGCTTGTGCGTAGAGGTGGGGCGGCCTTGGATAGCAGGCAGGTCCTGGCCCTGGTTCCTGACCTTACCTGTGAACCACCTCCGGTGCCCATGCCCCAGCCCTTCTCTGTTTGTCCTGGACCTGACCATCTTGGCCTGAGGAGGAATCCGTAAGGTATTTTAAGTGGAAGTTGTGTTTCTTGTTTCCAGTGTGACCTTTTCCTCCCAATGTAGGGGCTGGAGGAATCGAGCCCATGGGTGTGTGTCTCTCTGGAGGGCCCTCTTTGCTATGCTGTGGGATCCTATGTGTATTTGTGGTGAGGTTGACTGATGTGCCAGGTGCTGTCTTCTATGAGCTCTGGGACAAGTCACTCTGCCCGCTGACCTTGGTGTCCCTGTTTGTAAAGTGTGGCTGGGACCACACCTGCCAGGTACACAGTGGCACTTCTTCCCTGGGCAGCTCTCACAAATGGCGCCTTGCAGAAGTGGAGAGAGGTGGTGAGCGGGGGCGGCAGGAGGGCAGATGCTTCTTGTAGATCATGTGCTTGTGCTGCCTTTAACCCTGGTTGCTTACTTTTTCATGACCTTTTATCTTAAATTAGTTTATTATATTTTGAGACAAAGTTGTGTTTCTTTGCATTTGCATGAAGGGATACTGCACAGTTACTTATCTGCTTAGATCCAGAACTGTGGTCACGTCACCGAGACATGGCACTTGGTGCCGCCGTTGGTGTTTTGACTGTCCTCAGGCTGTCACATGGATGTCTGGCTTTTCTTTTTGTTACATTCAGTGATTGTAATACACTAATCAGGGAAACAGACGAGGAGGAGTCCCCAAAGACATTGCCTAAGTGCACTGTTTGTTTGAAATAAACTTCAGTCCTGCTCAAGCCATGCTCATTTAGTTTGGAATGGCAGCTGTGGCTATTCTGTGGCTAACAGTGCCTTATATCCAGGTCCATCTGTGTTTTCCTGCTTGTCCATTTAGGTACCCAATCGGGGACATTTTTAATGCCTAAGAGAGGTTAAGTTGTCTGCCTAAAGTCACACACTCCTTGGCAGGGTTTTTGATTCCTTCCCCACCCTTTGCCCTCACCATGGCATGCTGGGCCTCACCATCGCCCATTGGCTCTACACCAGGCACATTTCACAGAAAAAAGCGTGTTTCCTTACTCTTGTGTGAAATCCAAAACACCACTCCACTTCTTTAGAGCCTGAACCACATTGCTATTTCATGAGTACTTATTTTTTAAATATTCCTTTAAATTTTTCTGGATGTAATTTTTTAAGCAAAAACATTTCTGATGCTTCAAATGTATATTTCTCAACTTCCAGGTGAATGGGTTTCAAATTGAGGCATTGGGCCACAAGTGCATCACAGCCTCATTCTTGGTGCCCACCATTTGCATGCTGTGTGCTCCTAAGCCCGCAGTGATTACGGGCTTCTTAGAGTTCTTGAGGAGGAGCAGCTGGGGTCCCTGAGTGGATGAATGAATGGCTGGGCTTGGGAAGATGTATCGAGGGATGTGTACCAAGTTTCCTCTTTTGGGATCTGCAGCCCAAGTGTGTACTTGGGTGGATAGGCGTGCTCTCTCTTGATGGCTTACACCCAACACTGGCTGGTTCCAGCTGCCACCTTGCCTGAATCTTCTTTCCTGAGCGCTGTGCATGTGCAGAGGGGCGGTGAACAGAGACTTGATTTCCATGATGGAGCCTTGAGGCCTCTTTCTTGTCGTTCAGGAGCTCCCAGGTTTTGGAGATTTCAGCAGAGTTATTTGCAGCAGCTGGGTTTTTGGTTTGTTTAATTTCAGCATGGTTTTTTTTTGAAAGGGATATTTTGGAGGGAAGCTCTCTGAAGGGGCATAAGTGTGGCTTTTTTGGATCAAGAATTTTAGACGTGAGCCCAGGGAGAGGCTTTGTGTTATTTTTTGATATTACGATGGGTTCTCAGAGAGCTTGGATCCCAACAGCTTCAAGGACTCTTCTAAAACTTCTGAGATCATGCCAACTCTCCTCTATCCTGTGAGGAAAGAGCCTGATATCTGCGTGTCGTGATGACAAACAGGCTTACAGGTCCTGCCTTTTTTTTTCTTGAGAGTGTCATTTTCAGTTCACCCTAAAGGGAGGAGGGGGAGGCTGCAGAACGCAGGCCGCAGTCACTGGGCCCGGCCAGCTTGGGTGTGGTGACAGGGACATGCAGGCGAGCCTTGCTTCTCATCCATCCTGTTCTCAATTGGGCCGAGTCGCGGTGCTGCGCCGTCTGCTGAGTCTCTGCTTGAGAAAGAACACGGTCCTCTCGCAGCTCTGTTACCAGCTCTGTTGTTGGGAGTTACGTGTAAAGGCTAGATGTCGTGGTACTGCTTCTAATGGAGTTTACAGTATCACTGGTTGCTGTCTTTTTAAGCTAAAATTAATGCCAAACCTGACTGGTAGGATTTGCTTTCCCATGATTTAGTTCAAGCACCATGAAGGATGAGAGGCTCTTCTGTTGCAGAGGGCCGCCTCTTGCCCCTGCTGTGTGTCGTGTGTGCCCAGGCCAGCCAGAACAGCGCTGCCTGTGCCAACTGACGGGCTCCCACGAGGCTGCACAGGCCCATGCTTCTGTTTGGTGTGGATGTCACAGAACACATGGGGGGACTTTTGGCTCATGGGCTGTGTGGTTGTATTGTGTATGTATGTATGTATGTGTGGTGCGTGGGCTATATGGTTGTGTGTGTGTGTATGTATGTTTGGCACATGGGCCATATGTTTGTGTATGTATGCATGTGTGGCATGTGGCTGTATGGTTGCGTGTGTGTACATGCATATGCATGTATGTGTGGTGTATAGGCTGTATGTTTTTTGTGTGTATGTACGTGTGTGTGTGGCATGGGGGCTGTATGGTTGTATGTATGTATGCACGTTTGTGTGGCACGTGGGCTGTGTGTGCATGCATGTATGTGTGGCACACGGGCTGTGTGCTTGTGTGTGTGTACGTATGTGTGGCATGTGGGCTTTGTGGTTGCATGCATGCATGTACATTTGCATGTAGTGTGTTGGCATGTGGGCTCTGTGTGTGTGTGCGTGGGGGGGTGTGGGGTGTGTGTGTCTGTGTTTTATGGGTGGTGCATGGTTGCATCTCCTAGGCCACAGCCTGGTCAATATGGACAGTGAGACGAGGCAGGGCCCCCAGCACGAGTGGGTATGTTTTCAGTGACTTGCAGACACAGAGGGGAAGTGGAGGCAAGGAGGTGGAGGCCTGCTCGAGGGTGAGGACTCATGGTGTTGACAGAGGTGAGGCCCATTCCTGAGGCCCAGCATGCGGGAGCCGTGGTGGGGAGAGTGTTGGCTGTGGACCGCGTGCCAGGCTCTGTCTGCCTCTGTAGAGTGGGTGTGTGGTCGATGGGGGGCCTGTGGGGCTGACGGTGGGTGGGGGGAGCAGTTTTCATATCGTCTGCTGCCTGGTGTACTTATGAAAGAAAGGCTCGGTGACCATTGAACTCCACAGTCATCTATGGCATTTTGCAGCTTTTCATCCTGGGAACCGTCCTCACAGGCAGGTGTGTTTTGAGTGCAGCGAGTGTATGTTTCACAACTTCTTGTGTTTCCTTCTCATAGCCCTCAGCTTCCCTTGCTGAGGGCCAGTGCTTCTGTGGACATGCAGGTGGGGTACACTCCTGACACCAGGTCTCCTTTGTCCCCCAGGAATGGTCCTCGTGCGGAGTGAGAATGGGCAGTTGCTCATGATTCCACAGCAGGCCCTGGCGCAGATGCAGGCGCAGGCCCACGCGCAGGCTCAGCCTCAGACCACCATGGCCCCCCGCCCTGCCACTCCCACAAGTGCCCCTCCTGTCCAGATCTCCACCGTACAGGTGAGTGCACACGTGGGCCAAGGTGTGGCAGCCCTGGAACTCGAGCCTCTTCCCCTCGATGCTCCCTGTCGCTGTGCACACTGGGGAGGTCTGTGGGGGCCGGGGGTGTCCTGTGTGAGTGAGGAACGAGAGGTGTGGGTGGCATCCGGCCCACTGACAGGGATGGGCCCAGCGGTGGTGCTGGTCTCCTGTCCTCCTCTTGGTGGTAGGACTGTGCCCTGCTCAGGGGAGCCAGCTCCTGTGGCCAGCACATGTGGCCGAGTGGGGTTAGAGCAGACACTCCACAATTGTGGCTCTACCCTGGCCCCTCTCTTTCTGCGCTTGTGGCTTCACCTTCCTGTGCCTCAGTTTCCTCACCTGCAAAGTGGACATCACACTAGAACTTAGCTCGTAGGACTGCCATGAAGACCGAGTCAAGATAATTAAAGGGCTAAGAGCAGTGGGATGGAGTGAATGCTGACTGAGTGCTGGTTACTGATACTTGGATGCGCATGAGAACTTTACAGGGTTGTTTTACATAGACCCCCCACCCCACATTTAAGCCTCTGGGTTACAGATCCTGACTCTGAGCTTGTGGTGGAGAGGATGGATTCTGATGCTTAAAAAGCAAAGTGCTGGGACGCTCCTCTCCCCAGCTGTGCTGTTCCTTGTCCAGTGCCTTGGTTTCCCCCTGGGCCATGCCCCACACACATTGCCTGTTTCTCCTCTGTTCCGTCTGTCTGTGTGGTGCTGTCATCCTGCCGTTTTGAGCTGGTCGGCAGGTTGGTAAAGTGAGGACAAGAATCGTCTTGAAGTGTGATCTGAGCTGCGTTCCCTCTGGAATTCATGCCGCTGTCCTGTGGATTCCTCCTGGAGACTAATACCATGCCCCCCCCCCCGTCTGAAATAGTGCAAAATGGGGTCTACAGGGTCTGCAGTGTTCTGTCCGTGCATAAGGTGCAGGTGTCCAATGCTCATGGTCGCGCTCCAGCGGAGATGTTCGTGTTGCCATCTGACCGTCAGCGCTGGCGCCACCAGTCTCCCATGCCAGCGTCATTCAGCTGGCTCAGGACTCGAGGCGTCTTCTGCCCTGGGTCAGCCACCTTGTTTCCCCTTCCGCAGCATGGTGACCTGTCTTTCCACCCAGGAGACAGGGCTTCCTGGTGCCTTTGCTACTTCCTTAGTGCTTGTTAACAGACTCACAAGAGAGTATCATAGGCCTGAGTTTCCAGATGCCTGCATTCTTTAAGGATACATTTTATAGACTTTGATATTTTTAGTATAGCATATGAAAAGATTTTGATCATACACTTTTACTTTGGTGAGAAGCCTTCAGGATTATGGTGGCTTCATTGAAAGTCCTGAGTGAGTTTGTGGACCCTCTTGAGTGCACTGGTTATACCTAAGGATTGTTTTTTGTATACAGTGGACCGGTGGAGATTCCTTTTATTGTAGCTTGTTTTAGGTGACTCTTGCTAAATTTTTCAGGCACCTGGAACACCTATCATTGCACGGCAGGTGACCCCAACTACCATAATTAAGCAAGTGTCTCAGGCCCAGACGACGGTACAGCCTACTACAACACTACAGCGCTCGCCTGGTATGCAGGTAAGAAAGACAGCACTCAGTGGGGGCCAGCAGAGTGCGGCTCTTCTCTGATGCACAGACCAGGCCTTGCGAGGTTTTGTGTTGGACACTAAGTTGAATTTTGGGAAGAAGGCTGTCCATGAAGAAAGTGCTTTCTCCCTGACTACCAGCATAGGATAGAGCAGGATTCCTTTTTCTTTGGACCTACCCAGAATTTCATATCAGCAGAACTTTACAAAGCTTCCCACTATGCTAGAAGTATAAAAAATATCACCTTTTTAATATTTGGTTGTAAAGCATCTTGGAAGCAGAAAAAGTCCGAGGGGAGGACAAGCGTGTGTGTCTGTGTGGATGTGGCCCTTACGTGTAACTGCATGGTGGTAGCTGTCACCTGAGTACTGTGCCCAGTGGCCTCCCTAGCACTCCACATGCATTAACCTGCTTAATGTTCAGCAATGACCTCGCTATGCAGGTCATGACGTAGGTGCCATTCTTCTTGTCTTGTTGGTCAGAGGTGTTCATACATGAGGTGGGCGAGGTTCCTGCACCCCGGCTGCCACACCTCCCTCACTCCCTGCAGCCTGTATCCTTGGCTAGTAGTAAGAGCAACTTCAGGGATGTTCCACATCAACCTGGTGGATTGTTGGTTTTTAAAAGTGTTCTAAGCTGCGGGAGGAGAGTGTGTTCTGGGGCAGCTGCTGGCCTCTCTCCTGCTGAGTGTTGGTGCTCCCGCCAGCTCCGCCTCTGGCCTGCAAGCCGAGGAGAAAGGTTTGTGCTCTGGCCAGGCCAGCCTGGCCGTCACAGAAGTAGAAGTCCAGGAGGGGAGGGGCTGGCCAGGAAAGACACACCTGGTTAAGGAATCTTGGCAGTCAGGTGGGAGCAGCCAGAAGCAGAGTGGTTCAAAGGCTTCTCCTATTCTCACAGTGCTTGTGAGCGTCTGTTATAAACCCATGTCTCTATCGCATTGATTGCTGTGCAGTCCCGGAGGTCCTGTGTACCAGGAGCAGTACTCAGATGGGCTGCTGATTTCTCTGCAGTCTGTGCTGCGGTGCTGCAGGGTGGGCGCTGTTCCCCTTTCCCAGGGCGGGTAGAGGGCTCCTTCCATTCTTGCTGGTGGCTGCAGTGGGTGAAAACAGGTGGAGGAGCATCTCAGTCCCCGTACAAGAGAGCAGCACTGACCTCCTGTGCATGCCAGGAGGCTCTGAGTCTTCCGGAAGGGGTTCTCGGCCCTGTGTTCCTTCTGTTTGGTGCATCTGAATTTCTGGTTAGAGTGATTTTTCTGACAGTGAGGCTCACAGTCAAGTTTTTGCATCGGATGTAGTGGAAGATACATGTATCAGAATAGACTGACACAGTCTCGATATCCAGTTGAAAAACTATTAATCATATTTATCCATTCAGTAGATGGAATGTGAGGGATCAGCTGCTCTCTGACCGCCCAGAGACAGCTGCTTGCTTTGCTCTGTTGAGCTTTCTTCCTTTGCAGTTTTTTATTTGATGTTATGTAGTTACAAAAGTAATATGTGCTGTTGTTACAAGTAAAGGATACACAGTGTCCCGCCCCTCTGTGACTGGTGCTGGAAGCCTGTGGCACAACTTTGGGAAACCCTAGAGGCCTCTGGAAGCTGAGCAGTTTCCGCTAGTGATGCTGCCTGGAGCGCACCTGCCGGCCTGGGCTGGCATTGCAGGCTAGAGCCGAGGACTTGCCGCCACTGCTGCCGCGTGCAGCCATGGTCAGGCCTCCACCGCCCCCTGCTGGCAGGAGTCTCGGAAAGGAGTGAAGAAAGCTGCAGAACGGAAATGCAACGGCTAGATTTATAAATCAGAAAAGTACTAATTTAACAAATCAGTGTATATTTGCACCATAATTATTCATGTAAAATGGAAATGTTAGGAATTTGACCAAAGGCCTGTCGTTTGGGTTGCCCGCGCTGCCTGCTGTCTCCCTGCTGACTCACTTAGCCAGAGTTCATTTGTTTAGCAAAGTGGTACCTCCCTCCTTGTGGTTTGACTGGTACCTATGACCCCGTGGGTTCTCAGCTCTGTTCTGAACACCTCCCTCCTTTATGAGGCTTCCTGATGAGACTCACTGTTGCGGAGCAGAGGAAGGTTGGCAGGGGAGGTTGAGGGGAGCAAGGGACCCTCCTGCCTGCTGTGGTCCTGCGTGGTCCCCTGCATGAGTGGCTCTGGAGTTGTGACCATTCTTGTAACTAGCCTCTCTATGTGAGAGGGGATGATGGAGTGAGAGATGGGGACCTGGTTTGGCTATTAAGGCAATTTATGCTGGTTACCATTTGCCTTTTACCCTCGACTTCTGAAAATTAGGTTCTTTCCAGAGGTTGGCTTCGTTTCTACCAACTTTTAATGCAGGTGCAAAATGTGACTTAGGTGCTCAGGACAGCAGTCCTCAGAGGCGCTGGTCTGCCTGTAGTGCCGTAGGCCACCTTGAATGGCTTCGGTGTGTGTGTCCCGCCACTGCAAAGGCTCTGGCAGGGTGCCGGCAATGGCTGGGGGCCCTCAGCTGTGCAGAGCTCCCCACCTCTGCAGGAGCCTTGTTTTCTTTCCCCAGACGCAAGGCTGGTCTCCACTTGGCCGGGTGGTGGCACGAGATGCACTAATGTCATGTTATGGATTCTTGTAGCCTCAGCTTGTTCTGGGTGGCGCTGCCCAGACAGCTTCACTTGGGACAGCGACAGCAGTTCAGACGGGGACGCCTCAGCGCACAGTTCCGGGTGCGACTGCCACCTCCACAGCTGCCACGGTAAGAGCCGCTTCTCCCCTCAGGACCTTCAGAGGCAGCCTGGCCATTGGTCACTGGCTGGGAAAGTGAGCCTTGTGACAGCCCAGGCCGCTATCTGGTGTGGGAACAAGTTGGGGCCGCGTGTTGCGTTCCAGCTGACTCAAAGGTGTGGAGGGGAGCCGCAGCCTCAGCCATGTGAGTGCGTGGGGACTTGCTGTTCCCATGCAAGGTGGGATCTGAGGCAGTGGCCTCTGAGGGACAGTGGGAAGGGGCCCCAATCTTCCTGCTTGAGGGTTTTAGGTCAGCAGAGCTCTACAAACAGCAAAATCCCAAACAATCGCATTTGAAAGAGTCACACATGTGGACTACACGGCGCTTGCAGTCGTGAGATAGCAGCTCATGCATTTGTGTCCACATTCCAGCCTGGGGTCAGACTGTATGTGAGACTCACTTTTTTTTTTTTTCCTTTTTGTCTTTTTTTCGTGACCGGTAACGGGATCGCAACCCTTGGTGTTGCGCCCGCACCACGCTCAACCAGTGAGCGGACCGGTCTCCATATGGGATCCGAACCCTCGGCGGGAGCGCCACCGCGCTCCCAAGCGCTGCACTCTACCGAGTGCGCCACCGGGCCGGCCCCGAGACTCACTTTTTTCATGTTCCTTTGCGAAGTGTTTTTCATCATTCTTAGTAATTGTATCGTCACTTAACTCCTTCTGTGTTCACGTAGACAGGCATCAGTTTGTCTTGATGACAAGCTGTGTGGCAAGCATCGTTTCCATGTTCGTGGCTCTTTATGTAGTTGCATTCGTGGCGTTAAACTGCTGGGCTGAGTGAGGAGTGAACCGTGGTGGCCCTTAAGTGACATGGCCAGGTGTCCTCAGAGCAGAGTCCGGTTTGTACCCATCAGCAGGCCGTGAAAGTTAGCACGAGCATCGTTTCCATGTTTGTGGCTCTTTATGTAGTTGCATTCCTGGCGTTAAACTGCTGGGCTGAGTGAGGAGTGAACCGTGGTGGCCCTTAAGTGACACGGCCAGGTGTCCTCAGAGCAGAGTCCGGTTTGTACCCATCAGCAGGCCGTGAAAGTTAGCACATTTTCTTGAAAGAAATTTAGAGAAGATATACGCTTGTATTTGTACATATACATATTTCAGTTAAACCAAAGGCTGTGGTGAAAATCTGCCTTTTAAGACTTTTCCACTTATATATATATTTTTACTTTGATCCAGGAAACTATGGAAAACGTGAAGAAATGTAAAAATTTTTTATCTACATTAATAAAACTGGCTTCATCTGGTAAACAGTCTACAGAAACAGCAGCTAATGTGAAAGAGCTTGTACAGAATTTGTTGGTAAGAAAAGTTTTGTGTTAAATTTCCTTTCCCTTAGAGCATGTTGAGTGTGACGGCTGTGGCTGCCGAGTCAGGAAGGGCTCTGGGCAGCAGGAGAGGACACCTGTGGCAGGTGGAGCTGTCAGAGGTGTGTGTGACCGCCTGCAGAGACCTTCCTTCCTGAGCTTGGGTGTTCTGGGGGCTTTGCCCGGTAGCTGTGCAGTGGCCCCCCTGCCCCGAGCCTCACTGTGTGAAGAGCCAGTGCCCAGATGGTTCCCTGAGCTTTGCCATTTTCTGTTGTGTTCACGCTTCTCAACGTGTCCACATGAAGAGGGCTTACCTGGTGTCTGAAGAGACTGCCTGCCTTGGTGGGATAGCTGTGGTGGTCTCCAGCAGCCAGTTTCTCTGGGCCCTTCTCCAGCTGCGTGGCCACGTCTCTGCCTCTCTCCCCCAGAGCAGCCGGGTGCTCATCTTTCCCGCCTTTGCACCAAACTTCCTCAGCAGAATCACTCCCCCACCTCCCTCTGTGTGGATTGCCAGCCCTCTGGTACCTTGCAGGTGTCATGTGGGTGTCTTCTCCTCCTGAAAGGCGCCTGACTCCCAGCTGGGCTGTGGCGCCCTACACTCTCAGCACTGACTTGGATAGTGAAGTTACTTTAAAGCTAATTTGTCTCCTAGCAAAGTGAGCACTGCATGAAAATGGTGCTCACAGTAGAGACGAGAGGCAGACCAGCATCCCGCCCAGATGGAGGCCTGGTCACCGGCTGATGCCCTGCCACGACTGTGCCCGGAAAGCCTGCCCCACTGGGGTGGCAGTGTGTGCCGCCTTTCCCATGTATTCTGACAAATGAAAGAGTGGGCAGGGTACTGGCTGTAAAACATGAAACCAGAGTGATGCTGAACTAGGATGTGTGTGCATGAATTTTATTTAGTGCAGAATTTCAGTATGGATTTTATTTTTAAGGATGGAAAGATCGAAGCAGAAGACTTCACTAGCAGGTTATATCGCGAACTTAATTCTTCACCTCAACCTTACCTTGTGCCTTTCCTGAAGGTAATTCTGACAGTTGTGGCACTGCAGGCAGGGCCTGGTGTGCACGCGTGCGCACTTTTGTGTCCACATGCACCTGTGTCCCCTGCCTCAGGGAAAGGTTCAAAGTGCCCTGGGGTGGGATGTTGGGTTTTCTGTTTGGAAGAGGCTTTTCTGTAAGGCGTGAGCCCTGACCCTGGCCGTGCGGCTGTGTTGTGTTCAATGGAGGAGGCAAGGCGATCAGTGAACGGTGATGGGGAGGGGATGGGGCGGGGCCTACCGAGGGGGACTGGGGGCTTAGCAGCGTCAGGCTCTCCTGGATCACCACTGGTGTCACCACATTTCTAAAAGTATTTTTAAAATGCTGCTTTTTTTGTTGTCTGTTCTTAAAACAAAGTTTAGACGATTATTATCAAGCTTAATCCTGCTTGGTGGGAGGTTGGCATCTGACATCCAGAGATGTGTACTCAAGAGTCTAGAGCCTGTTTTATTTAGCTCAGGACTTTTTCTAAAGTGTGATATTTCTGAATTTTTTAAGAAAGGAAACCTAAGCTTGAGCCGCCCCTGACCCCTCATGTCTGTCTTTCCACCCAGAGGAGCTTACCTGCCTTGAGACAGCTGACTCCAGACTCAGCAGCCTTCATCCAGCAGAGCCAGCAGCAGCCGCCACCTGCCTCGCAGGCCACCACCGCGCTCACGGCCGTGGTGCTGAGCAGCTCGGTGCAGCGCACGGCTGGGAAGCCGGCGGCCACCGTGACCAGTGCCCTGCAGCCCCCCGTCATCAGCCTCACGCAGCCAGCACAGGCTGGCGTTGGCAAGCAGGGGCAGCCCACACCGCTGGTATGGAAGGCGCGCTCCTCGCCCGCTGCTCCGCAGCCCGGCTCCCGCGCCAGTGCTCCCGCCAGCCTCTTAAATAAACCGGCACGGCTCAGAGAAACCTTTTTACAAGCATGCAGGACAGCTCCTGCTAGGAAGAAGCTTGGGTATTCTCTTAAATAGTTAAAATATAAATTAGAGGTTGAGGCCTATGATTTTGGGTTTATTTCTCAGTAAAATGAAGTAGGCATATTGTTCTTGACCCCACTGGTGTGTCTGTTACCTGTATTGTTTGGGGGTTTTACTGGTTTAAATGGACACAGCGTGTTTTCAGAATCTTTTAGACAGATGTTCTCTGGGGTCAGGTGTGATGGCCCAAATGCTGAGAGGCAGGCACACGTGTGTGACGTGGGCACCCGGGGGCAGGGGGCTGGAGGCTGGCTTGCGGCAATAGTATGCATCGGGGTGCTCTCTGCAGGCAGGGCTGTGAGCTGCTCCGGAGTGGCTTGTTTGCTGACAGTCTGGACCTGGCTTCCTATGCCTGACAGTCTTGATGTCATGCTCCATGGCTAGAGGAGGGCATCTTGGCTGCATGTGCTCTCTTTGGTGGGCAGAGTGGGTTCACCACATGTAGGAAGGCTTGGTTTTTCTTTTAAATGTCAAAGGGATTTTGTTCCTCTAAGGACAGCTTAGGAAAATAAAACATTGCAGGCCCCCTAGTCTTCAGTGGTGTGTTGTATAGTGTACATTATGGTGGTGCTGAAATACCATGTGGGCGATTGGAATGTACAGGGGTGTTGAGGCTTCTGCTTGGGTAAAGTTTGTATTTGTTTTTGCCTTGACTGGTGGTGAGCACAGGGGAAAGCTGTAGGGAGGGTTTTCCTTACCGAGGCCAGGGGAGTGAAGGCTGAAGGCCTGTGGTAATGATGGGTCTCCTGATGATGCATCTGTCATCGGGTGCATGGAGACTTGCTGTGCCCTTTGCTTTAGTGTAGCGTGAGGATGCGGCTGTCCTACTCAACAGTCAGAGGGGACTGATTTACCCAGAAGATGAGTTCTCTTGAAGGAGAACTCTATGGGTAGTCATTTTCCTTGCAAGGTGTAGACCTCTGGTGCTCAGTTGTGTATGTGGCCCTTGGTGTTCTTTCTGTGAACGGGTGCTGTGTTCAGCAGTGGGGCACTTCTGTGTTCTGCTGCCCTGGCTTTTGCTGGGCTCTGTGTGTCTGTGCTTGGGGGCTGCAGCGTGCCTGGGTGGACCTGTCCATCACCTGCACTCTCAAGCCTAGAGAGAGATGGAAAGTGGGGCTTTTCCCTGAGTTTGTGGCAGACTCTTTTAAGTGGCAAAACCTGGCCTGAGCTGCCTCAGGCTCATCCTTTCTAGTGTGAATGCTCATGTTTTGTTGCAGGAATGGTTCCATTGCAGGCCACTACCCCAGCCCTCTCTGAGTGTCTCATAATACAGGGCATACCTGCCAGAGCATCTCCGTAAAAGGTAGAAACCAAATTCTGAAGGTTTGAGGCAAGGCCGTGTGGGTTTGAGCCATGTGGTTTTCAACAGGTATCAGTGATTCTGGGCCCCAGCTTACTGGGGCCAGGGGCCAGAGTGCAGGAAGTTGTCAGTCCTGCCAGCTTTTGAAGCCCTGCTGGGTGCCCGGGTTTGGAGTGAAAGACTGGACAGCAACAGAGCCAGGCAGCCTTGCGTAAGGGGGGCTCGGCTCCCAGAGTGTGTGGCTTGAGTGTGGGCTTGTGAGGGGATAGAGGAGCAGCTGTGCTGGGTGGTGGAGGCCTTGAGGGCTGAGTGCAGGGCAGGACTGGGGAAATCAGCCGCAGCTCCGGTGTAGAAACTTTCTGTCTTCCAATGGAAAATTCAGAAGAGGGAAAAACACTTGACCTGTAGCCACCAGGCAACAGTGTCAACTCTGCTAATGTTTGGGGAGCAGGTGTCTGTTCTTTGCCGGGTGGCTGAGCTGAGCAGCTCTTTGCTTCATTGCACGGGCCCTTTAGGCACTGACCTCATGGCTCATGTGCAGCTTCCAAGCAGCATATCTGCCCAACATGCTCACTTGTGTTATGGCACCTGTTCTATCTGACACTGCCCTGGTGTGGTCGAGGCCTGTGTGGTCCTGGGGCTCACCAAGGCTGGGCTTCTCTACTGCCCTGGGCCGAGGTGCACATGGGGTCTTCCTGGAGCTTTTGCTTGGGGCCAGGGCCTGGGGGTTTCAAGTGAAGGGAAGAGCCTCCGGTTTGGGGCCAAGTGCTCGGTGCCTCCTAGGGAGTGTTCACCACTCTCTGCTGCTCCGCCTCAGGTGATCCAGCAGTCCCCGAAGCCAGGAGCCCTGATCCGGCCCCCGCAGGTGACCTTGACGCAGACGCCCATGGTTGCTCTACGGCAACCTCACAGCCGGATCATGCTCACCACGCCACAGCAGATCCAGCTCAACCAGCTGCAGCCAGGTGAGGGGCTCATCCCAGAACAGCCATCAGTGGGATTCTGTTTTATTTCATTATTTTAAAAAGTGAATTTAATTTTATTTTTATTGTGGTAAGATACATATAACATAAAATTTACCAGCTTAACCCTTTTAAGTATATTATTCAGTGGCAGTAATTAAACATTTACAGTGTTGTGCAACCATCACCACTGACAATATAATTTTAAAAATTAAACATAGTAAAGTTAATATAAAAAAATGATTTTTCCCCCCCTTTTTGTCTTTTTTTGTGACTGGTAACGGGATCGCAACCGTACCGCGCTCAACCAGTGAGCGGACTGGTCTCTATATGGGATCCGAACCCTTGGCGGGAGCGCCGCCGCGCTCCCAAGCGCCGCACTCTACCAAGTGCGCCACTGGGCCGGCCCTAAAAAAATGATTTTAAAAGTTATATGTTTATATTTTAACCACTGTTGGTGTTTTTTATCATTAGTCATTTCTGTTCTTAAAAGCATTTGATGAAATACAGGAAAATAAGTGCTTGAGAGATGCAGCTTTTACTTCTAACTATAATTTAGAGTTATCAATCTGAAGTTTTTGAAAACTTTCCTGTAGCTAGTTAGGAGAGTGATAGTTTTTCTCTTGGCCCATAAAGTACCAGAGTGAGTAGTTCAGTGGCAGCCTCACATGGTTTCCCATTATGTGTCTTTTGCTCTGTAGTGCCCGTGGTGAAACCCGCCGTGTTACCTGGAACCAAAGCCCTTTCCACCGTCTCGGCACAAGCAGCTGCTGCGCAGAAGAATAAGCTCAAGGAGCCTGGGGGAGGCTCGTTTCGGTAAGGAGTGAGCCTCTGTGCACTGGGAGAGAGCGGCTAAAGAGGAAGGAGAGTCCTTGATTGGTGTTTCTCCATTCTCATCGTGGGCCTTTCCCAGTGGCACCTGGCAGCTAGCAGCTTTGAGACCATGGTTCTTCATACTTGATTTTGATCTTACGTCCTTGCGGCTCTGTTCTTCCACAGAGTTAGCTCAGAAAGGTTTCCTTCATATACATAGTAGGAAAGTAAATCAACTGGTTTTTTATATGAACTAACAGAAAATTCGTCTTTATAATCGCGCAAAACAGTATTCCGTGTTCATCACAGCTGGTAACACACACTGTCTTGCTTGCCGTGCGTTCACCCTTAGAACCTTCAGGAATGCCGTGCTTAGCTTCGGTCTCTTGATGAGCAGCCGGTCTGAGTATCAACCCCAGGCAAGGAAGTACTTCTGGGGAGATGAGTGACAGAACAAGCTGCAGAATGACTTTTATTGTGATGAAGCCATGGGAAAGTGTGCCTATATCAGGAAGTTTCGTGTGGCTCCTCCCTTCCCAGACACTGCATTCCTAAAGGCGTCGGGCAGGGCGTGGCTGGGGAACCGTGGTGGCCTGAACTGGAGTCTGCCCAAGCAGCATGAGGTGGGTGCTGTGCCCAGGGCAGCCCCACGGAGGACCGACACCCGGGTGGGGTGGGGAGGGAGTTACACATATACAGATTCAAAAGGTAAATATATCGAGGCCCACTGTGGTTTCTTATTGTCAGAGACAGGTGATGGAAATACAGCAGAAGGAATAAACCAGAACGAACATTGTGGTGCTGCATTGAATTGGACATGTAGACAGAAGCATGTGGATTTCAAAGTACATGGATGTAGAAATAACTACAGATATGGATGTGAATTCCTATCTTTGTCCACTGAAGGAGCCTTGGAACAGTAACCCCCAGTAGTAATGAGTACACTTAATGCTCAGATCTTGTCTTCTGAAAACCACTTTCTACTAAGTGACAAGGGCTCTGTATTAGTCAGTCTCTGTTGCTTATAACAAAACACCTGAAACTGGGTAATTCATGAAAAAACATTTTTTGCTTACAGTTTTGGAGGCTGGGAAGTACAAAGTTCAGGGAACACAGCTGATGAGGGCCTTGTCCTAGTAGTGGACTCCAGCGACTCAGGGCATCACGTGGTGTACGGCAGAGCAGAGAGAGAGCTAACCTTCTCAGTTGGCTCCTTTTAGAGCCATCAGAACCACTCCTGGGACCACCATTATTAATCCAGTCACTGTGTCAGGATCCTCACAATTAATCACCTCTTCGTTGATTGCCCCACCTTTTAGTCACCATACTAGGATTTCCCATCCTCTTACAGTCACAGTGACAGTGAGGATAAGGCTTGGGGGACCCAGTTCAGTCCCTATCAGACTCTAGAGAAAAGGCTGCTTCTAGGGCAGGGATAAGGAAAGCACATGCTGTGCTTAGACCATCTTGCCGTATCAGCAGTGCTCAGGTGGAGGGCACAAAGTCCGCTGAGACAGCTGGCGCCCATGGGCCGGGTCCATGTCACCATGGCAGTGCGAGTGTAGACTGGATAGGAACTGGCAGATTGTAACCGTCGGCGATGTGGAGCCACGAGTCTGTGTGGGTGTCAGTCACTGAGTACATGCATGAAATTGTGAGGAGTGGGATGTGTATGCACTTCAGAGGAGCTCCCCATAAGACACAGATCACACTGGGGAGATGCCAGGCAGGACCCCCTTGCCCAGTGCTCAGAGTGCACTTCAGTAAGGGAACACCAGGACAGAGCCCACCTGTTGGGAGGTAGTGTGACTTGTGGGCATCCCTGTCAGGGACGTGTAGCCTGCGTCACGCAGGGACAGCTAGCAGGGAAAGGCTGAGGGTGTTGCAGCCAAGGGAGACTGAAGAGGCGTTACAGCTAAACTTGGCATGGGACTCAGATGGGGACCTTCTTGCTGGGACCGTCATTGCACCCAGGAGCGTCTGAGGAATGGGCGTGGTCATGGACTGCTGTTCAGGGCGTGGCTTCCACGGTGCCCCTGGTTCTGCAGGGGATGCCCTCATCCATAGGAAACATACGTGGCAGTGTTCTGAGTTGTGGGGTGTCAGGCCAGCACCTTATTCTCAACTTACTCTGTGGTCTTTTTTTTTTTTTTTTAAACGGTTTCATGTGGAACAAACTCCTTGAAGCAGTAAGTGTTCTTGGTTTTTGCTTTCTGTGGACTTGCATTGACTATGGTTGAGCCCCCTACACAGATCTGTGTATAAAAACTCAATTTTGGCTTCAGCCCCACACAGCTCTTCCTGTAAAAGAGAAGATTAATTTTCACATAGGGCAGCTAGGCGGCTTCTTTTAGACGAGGGGGCACCGTGCAGTGTGGGGGCAGGGAGGACACGGCTGGTGTGGCACTGTGTGCTTTCTGCAGGGGGTTCCCTGCCCTCAGTTTATTGCCCACCAAGTCAGAACCAGCTCACGACTCCTCCTGATGGATTCCTTCTGCAGTAGTAGTGGCCTTTTCTTCTTTCTCAAGGGATGATGATGACATTAATGATGTTGCTTCAATGGCTGGAGTGAACCTGTCAGAAGAAAGTGCAAGGATATTAGCCACAAACTCTGAACTGGTGGGCACGCTAACGAGGTCCTGTAAAGACGAAACCTTCCTCCTCCCAGCGCCTTTACAAAGAAGAATATTAGAAATAGGTAAGCCTGTACTTAATAACTGTCACTAGGATTTTTAGCTCCACATGTGGGGTTGGTGTGTGCTGTGACTTTAATAAGGATTCAGGTAAACATTTTCCTCTGCTGGCGGCTTTGCTGTTGGAGTGGGTGAACTTCAGGTGAACACTCCTGATACCATGTTGTGTACTTTGCCCAAGTTGTAATTTCCACGTGGTCAGTGGTGATGGCTTTTAAGTTGTGGAAGTGTGGGTAGACCATTGTCTTCCACCTGCTGGCCTGCCTGGGCCGCCCTCTGATGGAGTGCATAAAGAAGTAACTGGTGGATAAGAGGGAAAAAACAGTACAGTAGTGAGGAAAGAAAACTGCTCAGATGATTGTAAAGTGTCTTTTTATTGCCCAACTTTCAGGTAAAAAACATGGTATAACAGAATTACACCCTGATGTAGTAAGTTATGTATCGCATGCCACACAACAAAGGCTACAGAACCTCGTAGAAAAAATATCTGAAACTGCTCAGCAGAAGAACTTCTCTTACAAGGTAATGGGCTGTGCTTCTGAAGAGAGCATCTTTCTGTTGTTGATTCCCGATGCTGTGCTGCCCGGAAGCCATCTTCCCACATCCAGGTGGAGGGCGGAGGTGTCCCCAGTGACCCTGTGTCCATTTTAAACTTGTTTTGAATTTTTTGCTGAACTAGATTTCCCTGGCTAGGGAAGGGGGATGGGGACCTGCAGGAGGATGCTTTGAGGGATTTTACCTCCTGGAAGGTGCACCTGTTCAGCTTGAAAACTATGGAGTCTTCTGCTCTTATTCAATCCTGGGGTTGCCAGCACCTGTGGGTGCCAGCCCTTCCCCTGGGCATGAGCTGAACCCGTAGACCCCATCCTCATGGAGCACATTTTCAAGGCCAGGTTCGCCTTCCTCAGCAGTCCCAGGAGCGCCATTCTGGAGAGCACCCGGAGCAGCCAGGAGTGGGTCCAGCTGCATGAGGCAGGTGTTAGCACCTTCAGAGCAGCATTTAAAATAAATACACTTGGCTGCTGTGCTTCAAAATGTGTCTGTGTTGCTATAAAAAAAGTAAATGTTACTTTAAAACTATCAAGCAGTATCAAAGTGTATAAAACAACCTCTCCGAGTCCCCAGAATAACCACCCTGAGGCTTTTATGTCTGGTTTGAACACGCAGGCCCTCGGGGTGCAGCGTGGGGAGGTGGGAGGAGGTGGGCTTTGCTCAGTGCTGGAGCTGGGCTGAGGAGGGAGGGAGTCATGTGCAGAATGCCTGGCATGTTAGGTTGGGCTCCTGAGTTTATACAGACAATATTTTTACTGTTTTGCAGGACGATGACAGGTATGAGCAGTCAAGTGACGTCCGGGCTCAGCTTAAGTTTTTTGAACAGCTCGATCAGATCGAGAAGCAGCGTAAGGATGAGCAGGAGAGGGAGATCCTCCTGCGGGCAGCCAAGGCAAGTGCAGGCGTTGGCAGGGTACCCCGCTCCCTGGCCACCCATCTTGGGCGCCCTGTCCTCTGGCCACACGTTTCGGGCACCCCTGCCCAATCTGCTCACCTAGACTCTTGGGGTTTCTGGTGGCTGACCCATGGTTGTAAGTGGAACTACAGAGAGAAGCCTTGCACGTGCAGCATGCCCCAGTGCACAAGCGTGAATGCTTGAAAGGTGGGGCACCTCCCATTCCTCTGAGCACAGCCACCCTTAGGTGTGAATGGTGGGTGGGGTGAGCCCCTTGTGCTTATCAGACCAGACTCTACGCTCATGTTGCCCTTCACTCTAGAGAACATTCAGAGCAGGCATGGTGCGCCTCCTCGTTAGCAGAGTCAGGAGAGGTTGTGGTACTTGGGGGGCTCGTGCTTTGGTGTTGGCCAAAGGCCAGCCCTTCCCCCACCATCTGTGGGGCAGGACTAGGACCTGGTCTAGAGACCTGCCAGGCTCTGTCATGGCCCAGCATCATCATGTTGTAAGCCAGAGGCCTGCAGTTGGTGGACGTATGACAAAGGCCATATCTTATTTCTTATCATATCCAAATGGGGTTGATTTTCTTAGAAGAATGCCTTTACCATGATGTGCGATCTAAATGTTAACTTTTGGCTATAAGCATTTAAAAATTTTGATATGCATTGTCTCATATGGCCTAGATGTTACTGTATAATGAATAAGATAGCATTTTTGTTAGATGGTAAACATATTTAGGTGATGACTTTTTTTTCCCCTACCTTTCAAAAATAGTCTCGATCCAGACAAGAAGATCCAGAACAATTAAGGTTGAAACAGAAGGCAAAAGAGGTAAGCTTTTTCAGCCACAGACTGTTCACTACACACTTGAAAATATGTTCATATCCAACCTATATGTCCAACAAAAGAGAGAAAGGTTAAGAAAACTGTGGTATTTCTGTACAGTAGCGTTTACTTAGATATTTAAAATGTTAGTGAAGTTCAGGTAATACTGTGTCAAAGGTATTTCTGTGCAGTTTGTATCCTACTTTTATTTTTTATTTTTATTTTTTTCTTTTTTGTGACCAGTAAGGGGATCGCAACCCTTGGCTTGGTGTTGCCTGCACCGCGCTCAGCCAGTGAGCACATCAGCCATCCCTATATAGGATCTGAACCTGCGGCCTCGGCGCTCCCAGCGCCTCACTCTCCCGAGTGAGCCACAGGTTCAGCCCTGTATCCTACTTTTAAATTTGGTGACTTCTCTTTGGGTGGCATTTAGTCTTTATACTTTTAACTTGTTTATATTTTCTGAGCATTTCAAGATGAACATCTGTTGCTTAAAAAAAATTATCTTTCTGATTATAGAATATGCTTACTGTTAAAGTCAAAACATTAAAGAAATTATAATTTAGGAAATTTCAGAAGACCCTTTGGTACATATGTATCACTTTTGTAGTAAGAGAAATGGTGCAGGAAGTGACCCTCCTCCTTTCCTGTCTGTGTAAAAGATGCAGCAGCAGGAGCTGGCACAGATGAGACAGCGGGACGCCAACCTCACTGCACTTGCAGCCATTGGGCCTCGGAAGAAGAGGAAAGTAGACTGTCCGGGGCCGGGATCAGGAGCAGAGGTACAGGAGCGTGTGGGCCCTGAGGTCTGGAGGGACCTTGGGAGCATCTTAGAACTGCTGTCTTTAGGTAGACAGATGGGCACGAGAATTTGCTTTCTCACCATGTGCTGTCGTCTCACCTTCCCTGCGGCATTGTTTCACATTCCATACTTTACCTTCAAATCAACTTGTTTGTGGTATCACATGAGCTGCAAGTTCTCTCCATAAGGAGGTTTGATCACCATGGTTTTCTATGATGAGGTTTAGACCGACTTTGAAAAGAATATGGGACATGATAAGTCTCCATATTCTCTCTGAAGAATGACTTACAGGGGTAACTGATGACTGAAGAGCGTACGGGAGATAAGCCCATGGCAGGATGATGATCCATAGTATAAAGGAAAGCAGTTATTACGTGTTTCTGTTTGTCCAGATTTTGTTAGTTTCCTATCTTCTTGTCATATTTTTTACTCTAATAGTTATAGACCCAATAGTAACATATTATTTTTGCTTTAAACTGTCAATTTTTTTTTTTTTTTTGTCCTTTTTGAGACCGGCCACACCGCGCTCAGCCAGTGAGCGCACCGGCCATCCCTACATAGGATCCGAACCCGCGGCGGGAGCTCTGCTGCGCTCCCAGTGCCGCACTCCTCCCGGGTGCGCCACGGGCTCGGCCCAAACTGTCAATTTTTTTTAAAAAGTAAATCATAAGAAGAAAGAAAACATAGTGTTCTATATTTACCTACCTACCTAGCTACCGTTTCTGGTGCTGTTCAGTCCTTCTCCCAGATCCTTGTTTCCATCCGTCACCATGTCCCTGTGGCATGAGACAGCCTCTAGCATTTCTTGTCATGCAGGTGTACTGGTGGATTCTCTCAGCTTTTGTTTACATGAAAGTGGTTGTATTTCACCCTCATCTTTTGAAGGATGTTTTTTCACTGGTTATAAAATTCTGGATTGATAGTTTGTCATCTTTGTGTGAAACTTTCAAGGTATTTTTCCAGTGTCTCCTGGGGTCTTGCTGTATTTTTTCCCTTGTCCTTTGTATGTAATACGTCACTTCTCTGACCATTTGGAGGCTTTTAATCTTTGTTTTTCAGAAGTCTGGTCTGTGTTGTGTTTAGGCGTGGTTCTCTGGATATTCAGTCTACTTCAAATTCTCTGTCTTCTTCATCACGTTTCGAACACTTTGGCCATTATTTCTTCAAGTGTTTTTTTCTGTTTTAATATTTTTTCTAGAGGGACTGCGGTTATGAGTGTATTAGACCTGTTGGTAGCGCCCCACAGGTCTTTGAGCCTGTGTTCATTTACTTCAGTCTCTTTTCTGCCTGTTCTTCAGACTAGAAAATTTCTGCTGATCTACTTTCAAGTTCCTTGACCTAATTATTTGCTGAGTTTCCCTGTCTCTTCATTTATTGAGACCATATTTTTCCACAATTCTCTGAACTTATTTATTTGTTGTTTTTGTGGGATTTTTGGCAAGTGGCTGGTACAGGGATTGAACCCTGGACCTCAATGTTGTATTTATTGAAGCTGCTTTATGAAGTTTTTGTCAAGTCCAGCATGGGGCAGTCTCAGACTCAGTTTCTGTTGACTGCTTCTTTTCCTTGACTGTGGATCATTTTTTCTTGTTTCTTTGTGTGTCTAGTGATGGTTGCTTGAATGCTAGATATTGTGGATTACACGTTGAGAGATTCTGGATTCTTATGTCTTCCTCTGAAGAGTATTTATTCTTATTTTAGCAGGCAGTTTGGTTACTGTCTCATCACCTCGAATTTGTGTAGGCTTTATTTCTTATTTTGTTAGTAAGGATCTATGGAAAGTCGGAGATGTTTCTCAAGCCCTTCTAACTTAGCGGGACTCAACCTGCAAACTCTGTCTTCCCTGTCTAGGCTTGGTTTTAGGCTTTGTTACAGTAGGTCTTATTCTAGGGTTCTTACTCTTAGGAAAAGCCTTTCTGTCAACTCAGCTGGATGCCAGGAGCGTTAACAGGTCTTGTTGCTGGGCAGGCTAGCCTCCAGCACCTTTGGCTCCTTCCCTGGTACTCTGCCTGACCTCTGGTATCTTGGTTTTGCTCTCAGCCCCACAGCATCTGCTGTCTCCTGTACTTTGGCTAGTCTTGCCATTCTCAATGGTGTGGATGTGGATTCTGGGACAGGATCAGGGCAGTGACCTTAATAGGATGGTGCTCCTGCCAGGGGCTGTTGGAAGTGTGTGGGCCTGGAATGTCCTGGGACCTCAGTGCTGCAGCTCGCCTGCCCAAGCACCAGCAGTGACCCCCTGTGCAGCACTCTCCTGGTGTGGAGAGGTGGTGCTCAGGGGTGAATGGAGACTGTGCTCTTGGCAATATGGCATTCTAGAGGTTTGGAGGAATCCCTGTTAGTACAATTTAGGTAAAAATGCTAGATATAAATGTGTATGAAGAAAACCCAAACAGACATCATTCATAAATATATGTGTGAGCTGTAGGCAAAATAGGGAGAGATTCTTTGGTGGATCAGAAATGAGAAACACAGATTCCTAAGGCTCGCGAGGGCTCTGGCCAGTGTGAACACGGGCTGTTGGCCCAGGGCGGGAGTCAAAGCCGGGGTGGTGTTCTAAGCAGGAACCTTGAGAGGAGACACTTCCGCTCTTCTGCCATTTGGCTGCTTAGGGTATAGTTCATAAAGGACAGGCAGCATAAATGCTGGAGTGTCCCTTTATTTACCCAACTTAAGATAACGAAGGTTATCTTAAGATAAAACTGCCTTTGTCCTTGGAAGGTGACCAGTGTTTTTATTTCCTGTTTTTTCAGTTAAATCATCATGAACTCGTGGACTCAGACATAAGTCGGTGGTTCCCACGTCACTGCACCTCTCATTTTTATTGCAGCTCAGATTGTGCCGTCTTTGGCCAGTGGAGCATCTACAAGTGGGTTTCTGAGTCATGTTCAAAGATGTGACACTGAGTCTGTGCCACCTGCAATGTTAAGATGTCTCAGCTCATCTCATACCCTTCCTGCTTCAGACCTGAAACAGTCATTTCTGCATGAAGAACTGGTTTCTTCTCGTGGGAAATGACATTTGAAGACCACACATGGGGTTTTAGGCCTTTTCAATGGGCAGAGCTCAGAAATGAACATAAAAACCAGACCAGACCTTGTGAGCTCACACGGGTCTCTCCCAAGTCAAGTAATTCAATTCCAGAGGTATAGGATTTTACTCACCCTGTTCAGAATGACATCTTTGTCTTTCACGTTGAGAATCCTGGTTCTAGGCTGCCCCCAGGGCTGGGGGCCTGGAGAGGTAGGGGAGGGGAGAGCTGGGGAGAGAGAGAGAGGAAAAGAATCCTGGTTCTCATGGGCATAGCAGATGACAGAATTAAAATGCACACGTCATAACCACCCATGTGGTCTGAGAGTAGGAGCTCCAGGGCTACCCACTGATGATGATTACTGAGAATAGTCAGAAGTTGTTTTTCATGTGTGTATTAGTCTGTTTCTGTTGCTTATAACAAAATACACAGAACTGGGTGATTTATAATGAAGACGAAATTCATTGCTTACAGTTTCAGAGGCTAGGAAGTCCAGAGTCTGGGGCATACATCTGGCGCGGGTCTTGGTGGTGGTGACAGTGATGCACAGGGTGTCACACTGTGAAATGGCGTAGCAGAGAGAGACAGACTCTCCTCTTCCTTTAAAGCCCTCAGAACCACGCCCCTGACCACCATTGTTAATCCATTCACTACTGCACAGTCCTTCTATCACCTCTTCGAGGCTCCACCTTTCAATTACCATAATAGGATTTCCCACCCTCTTAACAGTCACAGTGGGGGCCAGGTTTCTAATACATAAAACTTGGGTTTCTAATACATAAAACTTGGGATCACAATTCAAGCTTCAGGGAGTTTGGGGACATGATTCAGCCTACTGCACTGTGCTTGCTCCCATTGGGCCTATTTTTATATCTACTTTATTTACATTGCCAAAGCACTTAGCTATTACCCTCCCTGTTCACTCTCCTCTAATCTTAGTTCCATAAATAATGACGTATTTGGTGCTGTGGTCAGTCTTTATGTAGATGTCTCTTTAGCCACCTTGGTTTTCTGGGTCTCAGTCTCTGCTGGTTCTTCTAGAATGGCTCGTGGGAACAAGGCTCCCAGGCTCTCGCATGTTGATAAGTTTGTGATTTTTATACCTAAAGGGCTGTTGGATGGCTAGAAAATCCTTGGCTTACTTTTTCTGTCCTTCAGGGTCTCACATACGTTACTCCACATTATTTCCCCTGGTGTAGAAGTATGCTGTCAAAGTATGATGATGATCTAATATTATTTCCTTTGGATGTCATGTGTGTTTTTTGCCCAATGATTTTTTTCTTTTCTTTTTCGTGACCGGTAAGGGGATTGCAACACTTGGCTTGGTGACGCCTGCACCACGCTCAAGCCAGTGAGCGCACTGGCCATTCCTATATTGGATCCAAACCCGCGGCAGGAGCGCCGCTGCACTCCCAGTGCTGCACTCACCGGAGTGCGCCACGGGCTCGGCCCGATTTTTTTCTTTTAAGACTAATAATTTTACTGGAATGTATCTTGGTATTGGTTATTCTGTATTGGCATTCTTTGGTGTATAGGTTGTGTTCTTTCGATGTGCAGTTTCAAATCTTTTTATTTAGGAACATCTTCATTAATAATAATTTTTTTATGTTTTATATTTGTTCTGTTCTCATTTTGTTGTTTTCTTCAGAGACTCCTATTGTTCATGTGTCATCTTCTTTATCTGTTTTAAAATTTTTTTACTTTCTCTTGAATCATTTTAATCTCTCTTTTAAAACTTATTCTTATCCTTTTTACCTTCTGTTTCTCTTAAGGAGTTATTTGGCGTGTTTTACTTGCTTTTGTGTTCTTTTTAATTTAGTCTTCATTTTGCAAATGGAATTTTTATTTCAAGTTTTCTTGACTTTGTCACCTCATTTTTAAGTTTTGCTACCTCTGATTTATGTTGGTCTTTCATGCCTTTTATCATTTTCTCAATGCTTTTTGCTTTG